GACAAATAGTCGCGCGAGTGTTCGTGCGCTTTTCAAGTTCGCGATAACACGCAGGAAAAAGGAATTGAAAATGAAACTGTACGTTCGTTATAAAAAGGAAATGCTTTAAATCCTTCTCGAATCGGACTATTCAACGTAATTGCAGCAAAGTACTGTGCGTGTAGAGTAACACAAACGGTAACGCGAACGCAAACGGCTCTTACAGCACGTTTCCTCGTTACTCTCCTTTGAATATAATAAACGCCAACGATAAAGGACGAAATTATTTTTTCAGGCCGTAGACTTTATAAAACGAAAGGAAATTCAAACTCGAACGTTTCGCGTTTATATTTCGTCGCACGAATATTCTATGTTTTCGCGTTGGCAACGGATACGCTCCAAGCGTTACGTTACAGCACGGTTATAGTTGTGTTTATTGCACCTTGTCGCGCGTTCAATAATTCGCGATGCTTACTCTTGGACGTATTGAAAATTGCATGCGCGTAAGTGGTGCTTGCAAAAACAGACGCGACCTTTTTATGTCACCGGAAACCCTTCAAAATTCAGGAAGCACTAACGAGCTCATTAAGCAATCAAAACTCGGTAACGACCGGGGAGATGCCGAAACTTTCAAGCAGGAAATTTAATCGACTTCTGGAACTGTATTATGCCGGGAGTGACGTTTCTTATTTGTTTTCCACCGAGCAAAGTGCAAGAACCGAGCCGGAGTGATACTTAAAATTCGTGAAAACATCGCAGGGGCACGAGTCCCCAGGGAAAAAAGCAGAGTAGGTTTAGGAGTAATTTATATCGTAATAATTTACCTTGCGACACTCGTCCGTTAGACACGGTTCGAAATTAATGCTCGCGATTCATTTTATGCGTTGCACCATGAGGACTCTATCAGGAGATCCAACTCACTAAGAAAGTTACTAGGAAACTTTTAGTTGGAACAATCCCGAACTTGAAGTTATGAATATTTCGTCCACTCGCGGCGCAAGTGCGCACAGACTACGATATATACATATATATGACCTATATATATATATATATAGGGTATCCCAAAAATGTTGTAACACCTTGAAAGGGGTGGTTCGGGAGGTGATTTGAAACAACTTTTTCCTTAGCGAAAATGTTCTCCGAGGC